TTGACACTAAAGAACAGCCATGTCTTGTCACAAAAAAAACACAATTCAATCATGATGGAGGCACCCGGTTTGTTTTCATCACATAAATGATAACGCAACATCACATAGCGGGAATTCGCGACTGTCCGACATCTTCCCATAGGGCAAACCGTACTGATATTAAGGATTTTATTTTCTCGCCAAATTTAACGGTGTACGTTGCTGTCAATTTCTACGCAGTTTTCAAAAAGTCCGTAAAAGATTTTCATGATCCTTCGATCGGGTTTACAACTCGAAAATACGAAGTGGCCCCAAAGCCATTCCTGATAATCCTAAATATATATATATATATCTTAAAAAGGAATTAGTGGCTGTTTTTCAACAGAGGATATCTATTGAGTCGTTTTGATCAGCCTCAGCGATTAGTTATTTTGAGGCTTTTTTGCCTTTGTGAACCTCTTGATCTTTTCACAGTTTTAAAGTTGTGTATTTTTGAGAGCCTTACTCTGCCTTCAGACCAGAATTTTATTTCGATTTTAACCAATACTGCTCAATATCCGGTTACTACTTAAGATTATTTGTAGATTAGAGAACAGATATTTATATAAAATAACTAACATTTTATCCAACTTTATGTACTTTTGGTCCATGTAAACCTTGAAGGGCTGTCTCTGTGGGCCACGTTATAGGTGTGTTCAACTGATATTCTTGGAGAATTAATTCATTCGTCTAGGGCGCATAATATAAGAGTTTTTGAAAAATATACTGTTATCAGTTTTGTTCTCCCGTTCCACTGATCATTTTTAACAATTGCATCATGTGTCTCAAGGCACCCTTAACCGTTCAGCAACGAAAATTTTATACAAATTTCAAAACGCAGTACAACTCAATCAAGCTTTAACAGCAGACTAGTTGTTATTTCGGGTGAAAAATTTACGCCTATTTTTCTCGAAAGGATAAACCACTTCGAAATTGAATCTAAATGTTATGAAATGCTATAAAAAACATCATACATCTAATCCTAAGATAATATTTTGCCATTTTCAAATCAAATATCTTTATCGAACGGATGAAAACTTTTTTTTTGCTTTCTACCATGTGGACCTAACTTTTAGATTCGCAGTAACCAATATCATATATGTTTTTTTTTAGTTATTCCGTTTTTTCGTAATAGGACAATTCTTTATTTAACAATAGCACAAAATGAAGAGATGGTTACCCGTTCATTTCCTTTCCGACTAGGCCTCCTCCTGGTTGTTCAGCCGCAGTCTAAGAATACGCTCCTTTTTCCTCAATATCTCCCACACCAAAGCCGCTCCCAGCTGGCGCACAATTGTATGACAAGGATTCGAAGCTCTGCATAGCGTTGGGAAGGAATAGGATCGCTTCCCATGGCGCATTGAGCTGTGTGCTCGAGGCCCGCTGAGGAGACGTTGCCAATTTACTTACTGTCGTGTTAACTATAATGTAACTATAGTGTAATTAACGATATCAATAATCCTTAATGCTATCATTATATATAAACGTATTACATATTCGTTAAGATTTTTAGATTTTACTGTCTGTGTAGACTTACTCAACGTCTATTTAATCGACCGCGTTTTGTATAACCGATGAACCGAATAGCTTTTATTTTTTTATGTTAGAGGTAAGGCCTTGATCGTTGGGCTAGCTATAATTAAAAATGAAGTAAGCCACACTCTTATCTATTTCTTAAAAACTTGTAATGTTCACATATGCTTCAGCAATAGCGGAAATCGACAATGTGGGTCTTCTTCCTTCTATATTTCCTGGGAACCACAAAAGAATTCAAATGGCGCTCTCTGCAAGATACAGTTGTAGCTCTACTGATTAGCACAGACTAAAGGGAGGCACCACTTTGCTGACGACTGCATGCACAGTCCTAACAAATCCGCAAACAAAACCTAATAATTCAGTTTTTCTACGCCCTAATGTCAACTTTGTGGTGACTAATATTACGCAATGTATCGCAAACTCAAGCTACCCTACAGTTTTTAACATTAACAGAGCAACAGCTTGTCGTCGAAGGTTGATAAAAGTATTTCAGCCTTCCTTGCTTCAATAGAGATCTGTTTTGGCGAGGGCTGTAAGCGAGAACATCGAAGCCCCTCAGTATAAAAACATTAAAAGGCCTAACGTAGGGCAAAGGCCCCTGCCAAATTCAGTTATTCGATACGTTTCCAAGGCCACTCACGTATCGACTTGCTGACGTTTGCGATCTGTCGCATACCATTATTTTAGAAAAGAGTGACAAGGTAATTATAGGTCAATGCTGATGCTCACTAGTCATCAGCCTGAACCTACTCCCTTATTTATAAGGAAGTAGGTTCAGGCTTTAAACAGAGGGAATTTGATCTAGGCTAACAAACTGGCTCGTGTTATACATAGACTATTAAAGAAATAAGAAAACTAGAAAAAGTTTTCTAGGCTAAGACTTAATTTGAGCAAAGACTGATTCTAATATAAATGTTGGAGTGGCGCCCAGTTATGAAGTAACACAATGACGTGCACTTGCCTAAAGTCATAATATCTGTAAGTCAAACGAAGTGCATATACTAAACGATTGCTAAAAACGATTGGGAACATATTTAATTAATCTAGATACAGGTAGCCAACTGTACCTCATTACTCTATCTATCTACTTCTCGGTAGAGATAGAGGTTTTGCTTAGCTTTTCATTCGTCAGGCTTACCAGAGCCTAAAAGTTGATATTAGCTTAATGCGGCTAGAACAAAATAGGCTTAGGTTTTTAGGGAAACAGAACAAAATCGGAATGGCTATATTTGACGTTGCTGTACACTATCGTTGTAGAATTGATTGTTACAGCCGTTAAGTTTCTGTGCTTCTCTCTAGCCAACCGATACCAACTAACATTCGTGTGTATTTGAAGCCTTATCAAGGCCACGCGAGCAAAAAAGGTCAGACGAGAAATTGTTTCGGAACATATTTGTGTAATCTAGTAGCTTGGATCTTACGAAGGGTGCTCGTTCATATGTTTCTATTAAATTCGACGCAAAAGCTGAATCCAATTAATTGAACTGAACGAAGGTAACAACTCCTTCCTTTAATAGATTTTAGAGTCGGACAGCGCCAGCACCGCTACTTAACAGGTCTATGGCGTTGAAGGTGTCTGCTATAGACATATGATCGACTGTCGATCTGTGAAACTATATTTAACTGGCCGGAACGCAATCATACGGTTGAAACGCAATAAATGCCGATACTATGATGACAAATTATGGGGAAGAAAATCGTCTATATTTAACCCTAACCTAGCTACATTAGACCCTGGGCCACATCCATGAGAGTCCGCCAGATAAGCAGCCTAGTCGATGACCGCGCTTGCCAACGGTTTCTCTCGCTCTTAGCTAAGATTTGCTATAGAATACTTATTTTGCTTTGAAGACATTCTACTATGTCGAAACCACTATCGAAAGTGCTAGTTTGAACTTGCCGATGCGGTAGACAACACGTGTACACAACGCATATTCTTTGTTCTAGATATGTGTGTATACCACTTGCAATCACAAAAACGATTTTCCTATTTAAAAAAAAAAATACGTGGCACAGTATAGAAGAACGAATAATTTCTTTATTTTTGTGAAAATACTTGTATTTCTTAATTCGCTTCTGTCTATTCGTCCGCTTCCTATCTTCTGCCACAAACTTCGTGTATGTGTCTTTCTGTACCCTGCGACGATCAACTTCTTCTTTCTCCATTGCACGGTCTATACGATGCTGAATATATCTGTACTACCCCGAACTTTACAAAGAACTTATACATACGTATAGAGGCTCCATATTTACGGATCTAAATAGTGTCTAGATCAGACATGTACGCAGTTTCCGTATGCAGGGTCTCTAGTCATCATTTTTATCCGTATGCACTTACCCTACTCAGCGTCTACGCTCACTCCTAACAAGTGCGAACCGATATTTGCCAATGCCTATTAATTATGTATAGTTCCGCGATGTATCAGCGTACTTCATTACTATGATAACTATGATATTATTAGTTATATAAACGTACATATAATCCTTTGGAACTTACGTTTACTTTATGCATATTTTAATATATTGGCATATCTATACACGAAGTCGAGTCTTCTACCGAGCTACTTTCACCATTATTCCCGTTGTTGTTACCGTTGCCAACAACAGTGCCGTTAGCATGGGCCTGCCGTAGGTCAATATTAATTCTGTCCTTTGATCGTCTTTCACGGGTCGGCTATTTATTTAGGTAATCTTTGCGCGATAGTCAAAGCAAAAATAAATAACAGCTAAGGACGCACTCGCACGCACATACGTGTACACGTCATGATATGCACAATAATATGAACGAATTATTACCTTTTTATACATGAGTCTCACTCTTTATCGATAGCTTGTCGCTTGCAAAAAAATTAATTATCGATATGTTGACATTGAAATTGGTATTGAATTAATTTGACTAGAATAGATGATAACAGTGCAATATGAATAGCATAAAATCTTGCTGGTTGTGTTGAAGCTTGACATGTAGCATAGACCGCTTGATTAGTAAATGCGATAAAACCATAGACACTAACAGTTCGGTACACTGCTAGCAGGCACCTATACGATCCAATGCTAATGAATATTTGTAGGCGGATAGATTATATATAGAAATTCATGATATACTTCTGCTTCTGTCATTAGCGACACGGGTGAACTTTGCTTCAGCCCTTGGTAAAAGTTCTGGGGGTAGCGAGCTACGATATTATATCAAACATGAGTTAATTTTTTTGAAAATCTGTTTGTCGCTTCGATGCATTCGATGTGGAAATTCGTGCGAAGAGTTGATAGTTCAAAATTAAGACGTAGCCTGATACAGCGCCGCTGGAACGAGAAGTAGATCGAAACGATCCGGTAGCGGGCGCTGTAGCAGCAAGAGGCGGCAAAATCAAACTGCCAGCCTATGGTATATTCGATTTAAAACCGTCACGTGAATTTCGATTGTTTTTTAGTTGTCATCTTTTTACGGGTAGGTTAACCTAAATCACGTTTGCTACGCTCCGTTTCTATCTCCATGTGTCTGTTGAACGAAGTAGGAATGAGGTCAATGTCATCATTTGTCACTTCAACTAGTGAACGACATATTACCTCTTCTTGTGTATCTCGTTGTTACCCGATGCATTTCACTTACTCGGTCTGATTTCTATGGCAGGATCTGAAACACTGCGAATGCATTCTACATTCATATACTCAATTTATAGTACAAGGGTGCCCCTAAACGATTTTACAGCATTCTATCTATGTAATAAATAGATGATTGAATGAGTAACTACCAGTCACTGAAGATCTTCAACGGAGTTAATTATTACGTATTGAAAACGAGACAACTAATATTGTTTGCTCCATATTGGATTGATTGTGCCGGCAACGATTGTAGCATTTGCCATTGGTGTTTCGCTACCAGTCACCGCTATTAGTAGAAGAAATCGCACCTTTTTGCTGGTGTTTTCGTCGGTGTCATTTGGTCGCTGGATAGCTTATTACAGTGGCTCAGCTTAGGCTTGGATTTACTGAGTCGAGGCTAACTAAAAATCAGTCAACAAATAACTAGTTGTAACGTATCGTCGTTGTGTTGCTTGAACGCTAAAAACTTTTGTCTAACACATTTTCTCTAACCATGCGGTTGGTTCACGACGACCTTCTATACGGGTGATCCTGTTTGCGGGACGTTGCTGCCGCTGAGGACAGTTACTTTCGCCTTTGTGTCGTCGCCGTCTTGAACTAGAACTGTACCTACCCTTTCGCTGTCTCTAATCTTTGATGCGGTCTCGTCTCGTATATCGCCCTTCAGCAACGCAGAAACAAGGCCAACAGACTGATGGTGCGCGGTCATGTCCTTCTTAACAGCCGCATCCGACTCGTCGAGCGTACCAGGCCGGACGGGCGTCTGCAGCTTGATGTGTTTCCCGAAACATGAACCAAAAATCTCTTTGAATTCTTTTCGGAAATTATCATTGAGCCAGCCGTAAAGGAACGGATTGGAGCACGCCGAACTCATGCCCCACATATGGCAGATGGCGAACGTTATTCTGAAAGAGAAATAAATAGTAGAAGGCTAACTCTTTTTCAACTGCCATACTCATATCTTTCTAACGAGCTGTCATTTCCGTATGACTAGACAGAATCGAACTGGTAACAAAAGCTGGTCACGCTGTCCCTTTGTATTGTAGCCAAACGTAAACAATCAACAATACGTATGATACAAAAGTTAAAAAAAAAAACTTGACATTTCTTTTCAGACGCTGGCAGTTACTGTAAAAAACAAAAGCGATTATTGTTATTATAATTATTACTATGAAAGCGTTAAAAAAGTTGAAGAAACAAAAGCTAGTACACAGAATTAGACTTGCTTGAATGCTTGATGATCCAGTTTCGGATTAATGTAGTCAAAATAAGCATTTAATAGATTGAGTGGTAGCCAGCTCAGGATGAACACGACGGTGATCGAAATAAGAAGTTTGTTTGTGCGTTGAACCCGTCGTCGTTCCCGCAATAGTTTATCTTCGAGCTTTGAGCCCGTACTGGCCATTCGACACTGCAGCTTTCGGCAGATAGACGCGTACGCCAAACTAACGATAATAATAGGCAACATATACTGGAACACTAGGGTAAATATCGAATAGTAGAATCTGCAAGAAGATCAGAGTTGCACACAGAAAAGTACAGCGCATTGTAAGACCGAAGAACGACTAAAAGATCAACTATGGTTTGTATGTATTTATTCATATTCATAGAAGTTACATATTCTTGCCTATTGGCATTGTTACAGCATTTTATCATTATCCACACACACACACACACGTATATATATTTAAACTATGTAACTGCGATAGATAAAAGAACCTGATTCGGCAAAACGTTCTAAAATGAAAAGCCTAAACCATTTAGAGCAGCCGCATAAGTCGACCACTTGGAATCCTGACATGTTTTCACCGCAAACTTCAACGGCGTAGCAAAGCTTCTTTTCGTCTCTATACGGACCAGACAATAAAATTTATTCCAACTAAAACGTCCTGGCCAAGATAATGATGTCATCGTTTCACAGACCGCCAATTGCCGACTGACTGGACAGCCAACCTTTTCGTTATTGTGTCTTCTGCCACAAAAGCGTAACTGTGTAATCGCAAAATTACTTTTACAAACTTCTGCTAGCCCCTTCTGTACGTGTTGATAATATGCGAGAGACAACAACGCTGGCGGCGGCGATGAAACGTTTGCACTGCCAGGATCTGGAAAGGACAAGGCTAACTAAGCAATAATAGGGCGAAATTTATTTGCTGTAAACAATGACTTAGAAGTCCTGCGAGCACCGAAGCTGGCCTGGACTAAACACTAAACAAGGCCGGCCAGGCTGATGGTGCTCGCCAGTTTCATTAGCAGTTAATTCCGATAAATGCGCCAACTGGCAGTCTAGACTGCTATGGGTTGTCTCCCCATCTGGCTGAGGTTTGATCGAAAGTGAATAGCCTGCCGCTGAGAAGGCCAAAGAAGAGTACAAGGGACAGAAACTGAAAAGATAAGAAATTTTTGTTACGAACACGACAAATATCTATACTCCCACCAGCAGGTACAAGCCACGGGGTATGACAGCGCGGCGTAATCGTATTTTATTTGTGATTCCTCTTCCATTAGACACACACGCACACAAAAACGCATAGGACACAGGCCTTTTGTTGAAGAAACCAATTTCTGCCCTGGTGCTCGGCTCGAAATTGAGGATCGCCCAGGTGGATCCACTAGCAACATCCAGGAAATAGATTTGGGTCGTGGTAGACATGCTTCGTATTCGGTTATAATGATGACGTCGTGACCCTGGGCGAGAAATCAGGGGTGAATAGAAGGAAAGAATGTTGCCACTAAATTTTAGACACATTTTCATTGCACGCTACTAAAGACATACTTGCGAGAATCGCATGTCAAAAAGCAGCGAAGAGGTAATTTCGCAGCTGCCTATGCCACCAACGGTCGGCCCCTTTCCGCAATTTTGGGTTAACTGCGTAATGGTTATACTTTTGCGCCTTGGGCCTACACTACTTCGCCGAAATTGAAAATAATCTGCGTGATACTTCCTGGGCATAGGCTATTGCATTCACGCGGCGACAGCTGGTAAGCCCTTGCGTCAAGGTCAAACGGTGAAACAGTGATCTTTTGGAGGAGCGAGATATAGCTCCAGCTGTTCTTGGTTAGCAAAAGGACACATTTAGGGTGCACCATGTGTACGAAACATCAACACGTTATTTGTTATTTTCATAGTTAAGTAATAATTTTAGTAAACTTGTATAATTAATGTATAGCTATAATACTTATCTGTGTAAAATAAGAAGAAGTAAAAAGCTCTAACGATTCGAAAATTTGCTGTCGGCAACTCGATAATTTTAGGCCTGAGTGACATTGCATTCAATGTAAGGAGAGAATGAATAAAAATTTTCGGTTACCAACCTGCCCCGTTCATGTGGCCAATTCTCGATGCAATAGGTGACATCGTCGTTGAACTCGAAACCACGATCGCGAAGGATCTGCCGAGTTTCCGGCGGCATCTCCGGGTATTCGACGATTCTCGAGGCAAATAGCGGAGCTGCCAGCAGAAGGGCGAAGCACCATATGCCGAAAAATGCTGTCCTGGGCTGAAACGTCTCGCGCGACGGATAGATGATTACCATGTATCGGTCGATCGCTATTGCTGTTATAGAGATCGTGGAGACGAAGATCGATGTCGCTTCAAGACCTCCAACAAGCTTGCAAGTGATAGTTCCGAGAGGCCAGTACCGCAGGATTAACTCGACCAAAGTAAACGGCATCGTGAACAAGCATAAAATAAGATCGCTGATTGCTAAATTGATGATGTACACGTTGCGAGCTGTGCGCATAGCGGGTTTGCGCGCAACGGCCACACAAACTAAACCGTTACCAATAGCTCCCGTCATGATGAGCACCGAATAAAACGTTAATAGAATAATAAGTGGAATTTCCTCGATAGCCATAATCTTCGTTTTGTCCATCATATTTTCTAGCATTGCCTTGATTCGGTGTTCGGTCGGGTCATCCGAAAGGGAACCGTTTCCACTAACGATCCCCGGTACCGTGTCGTTGACATGAAGCGTCGTCAGCGTCGGTAATAAGGCGACGTGTTGCTGCTCAGCAACTAAACCCCCCACATCGTTAACCCCGTCGTCCACATCATCTTCCTGCAGTAGAACCCCCTGTAGAAATAGCAAAAATAAAAAAAAGATCATGATATACTAAAACATGCAATGTGTCATGTTCGATTACCGATCCTAGCAAGCCGCTGCTATTTCCCTATTGCGTCCCTGAATTTTGTGGTTTACTATTACGTTACTCAACTGGTCTAAGGTCAGTAGTGAAGTAGCTATGTTCATGCTGGAGTTGGTTCTGAATATGTTTAACCAGTGGGGAAAAAGGCTGAGAGCCGATAAGTGTTTAGTATAATTAACATGATAAAAAGCGCTACATCGTTTAGCAGGAGGTTGGCCAGACAGTAAAAGATCGTTTCAATCAGTGAAAAAGATCTGTAGATATTTTCATTGAAAACCCATTTATATATGAATCAGTATGCGCATCATCATCACCCTTCGCGATCAGTGTCACTCCCGTACGTGACAATTGTGCACCAATAGTCGATAGGCATGTCACTGACTTGCAAAGATCAATCAATTAGCCTCGATGCTGACGACGATTAATGTCGTTCTTGCGACACCCCCGTTTTCCCCATATTCTCCTCAAAGGCGGTACACCGATTACGAACCGCTGTAGCTACAATGTCAACGTGTCTTGCCTTCGAATTGAACGAAGTAGACAGGGCAGGGTATACAACGCTTTTATCTGGACACTTTCTTTCTGACACCCCAGTGATGTTACCAGCGTGTTAAATAGTCTGGTGGATCATTACTTTTTCAACTATATATATATATATATATATATATATATATATATATATTGGCCGCTCTTTTCAGTATTATATTGCAAAACTCTGCTAGCAACAAGTTAATAAGAGCCGAATGAACGAGGGTGTCGCGCAAAAAAACTCGAAATACACGCACATTTTGGCATATCATTAACAGTACGTGGAGGATTTTGGGTGACAATACCTAATTCAATAATGCATGATGAATATACGCACGTCAGTGCGCCTTTGAGGCGTCCTTGAAGGATCCTATGATTGTGCACACTGTTCGGCTTGAGCTGGTGATTGTATCAATAATAATATCAATAGTAAATAATTAGTTTGTCTTATTTAAACGTGTCATTGTGTATGTTTTCAAATATGCTTGATATTGTGTTTGGATAAGTACTCGATCTCATTATGAATTATTTAAATTCTAGCTTTCCCCATCTGACGGGGCAACCCATTTCGAAGACGAAACGATACGAGAGCTTAAACCACTTACCCATAATGAGCGAAGTGAAACCGTGGGCCGGAGAAGCAGATAGAGTCCTATAATCTTCTATAAATGAGAATGTAGCCACCCAAAGTCAAGGTACGGTAGAAGTTTCTAGGTCAACCTGGATCTGCTGCGTTACTACAGGCTGATGATTTGTTTTGTCTCATTAGTCCATAAAAAGCCTTTCATCTAAAGTGTATTTGACAGGAACTTTTCTGCTTAAACTTATTATTAATATTGCCTATTTATCCGCGAAGCTTCCAGACCTAACGACATCGTACACTGTGTCACCTTAGGAAGAGAGCCAGGCTCCGGTAAGAGGAACTTTAAAGATTGGTGTCAGGTTTAGCTGAAAGATGCTGTTTGTGTCGTTTTATGATCAACGTTAAGTAACATTCAATTTCAGCTCTTTTACAGCATGGCCTTACTTGACCATGTCCGCCGGGACCTGAGTAAGCGAAGGTTGATTTTCTCGACCGATTATTGAGACACTGATAGTAATGTTTTTGTTGGAGTATACTATGCTAAGTTACCAGAGTAGCGGTAACGCCGTGTTGACGGTACTGCTTACCGTTTAACAATGTTTACCTCACGGTAATTTCCCATGGGACTGGGCATAGACTTAAAATAGGTGCGACTCACAAATTTTCTGGCAGAAATGAAAATCTGCAAATCTTGCCTTTGCTTGTAAAAACTATCACAGTGATCGCTGATGGTAAACACCAGGCAAGTTCATACTCGAACTATCTACCCCCGCCAAATGAACTTTACATCGAAGTCGTTCTGACAATTTCCTCTTGATTTGTTATTATTAATTGTTTCATCTGCAAATTCTACAATTTCATGAAATAGGTAGCTTTAAGCTGGCAAAAACTTATTTTCTGTTTGCAGAAGCCAAACCAATTATAATCCTTACGTAAACTCAATTGTAACTATTGTTGTTAATTTGACCTTATCTTCGCAACGAAGCTCCCCAATATATATAAAGTAAGGGTACTGAATTTGTGTTAGCATGTCCGTTAATCATACAGTACATGTAACATGCTAACTTGGCTATAATGATTAATACATAAGGTCTGCGTGCTAATTGTTGTAAAACAAAATTCTACCTCGTTTTTGAGTAACATCCGGAACCAGTATCTAAATTCAAGCAAAACTATAGGCTTTAGCTATTTATTTTGTTACCGCACATCCTGAAATTGATTTTTTAAGTATAACAAACCCCTATCGTCACAATATTTCTAAAGATCCCTCAAATGGTTTTCGCATGTGTAACAAATATCATTGAATTACTCCGCACTTGTACAGCTCTGGCAACATTCTCATAAGCATTATTACCAAATTGGTACTAGTTGACACCAATTGGTCATCAAGGTGATACCGTTATATCGTCAAGGCTCGTAGGTATGCTAATGTTAATGGCCGTTCACGTTCAATGCGTACTCGTTTTAGCGTCTTGTCGTGTCGTTTGCATGTATTAATGAACACGTATGACGTACAGCGACGCAACCCAGGCCGCTGCTGATTCGGTTACAAATTATCAACTTTAATTTTGTCTGCCTTGCTCTCGTTGATTCGATCATTCCGTCACCGTCGGGAAGCAATCGACACATACGACTATATAGTTTGTATGTTTATAAGTGTACGGTGCACTCTACTTAGGCGAGCCCCGGACTACGCTTGTCAGAAACCGGCACGAGAATCATAATTTTTAGTCATTCTAAGAATAATGTCATTTGCGGATTTATCAAGCTTCTCAGGCGTAAGTTTGTTGTATGCTCGTATCGATGGTGGCGCAGTAGCTCCAGTCCTTGCTGCGACTCCTAGGACCTATACTGTTTATGCTTTTACATGTTATTCGTAAGTAAAAACTATTGCACATGGCTAATGAGTATATTAAAGATTAAGAGCGCTTTCGTTGGGTAATATCGACAGGCCTTTGATCGAAACACATATAGGGAACTCGCTGCTAAACTCGACCTATCGATATACTACGACATCCGATACCGAGTTAGTTTTCCGCTTGAGACAACGACGGATTGTCGCATTGGGCTTGTCGTTCTTTTAGCGTGACAGTCACTCTATATAAAGTAACAGGTAGCCCGTTGGTCGGAGACTGATAATAGATCCACTAGAGGCTCAGGCTTTTATACCCTGGATGCGTCCAAAGTAGCATTTGTTAATTTCTTACATTCTGACCGTAGCGTTCGGCCATATCCACTAGCTATAGCGCATTCTTGCAGCAGTCAAGTGTCTTTTGTACGGAAGCGGCTTTTGCAACGTACCACTAGCATCGTGCCCGTGCTATAACGCATCCGAATTGGCCCCTCCCCAGTGGATGCGCGACGTCGCCACAATCCTCGAATTACCTTGGCGATTTCCCCTTATTTCTCGCACGAAATACATCTGATCTTGCTTGTCGGTCAAGAAACTAACGTGAATAAATCAGAATGAGTTAGAGCAGACGAGAGCGAAGTCCCATATATCTACTTCATATGTGTACTACCGTAAACAGGGCGGTCATTCAAAGACAAACCTGGTCGGAAAATTTGTGATCGCGGGCATACGTTCATGCGCTATTTTTGTATTAGAGGAATGCCAGTCATTTTCAGAACAAACAACAAACACGACGGAAAAGAGTATGTCGTTGTCGCAACTTCGACTAAGATCAGCTGTTTTGCGATAGTTTCGGGCGGGATAGACCTCCACGAATATTAAAAAGTTCCTCTTTTTTTTTTGTTTGAATTCGACGGTCTATGTTTTTTTCTTAGTTTTCATGCGGCTTTTTAAAATCCGAGGAAGATTTCCATAATAGTTCCAATAAAGTTTGAAGCTTGAAAGTTAACTGAAATTGCTTAATAGAAAAATAATATTCGATTTCGTATAGAAAAATTAATGGCAACTTTAAAAAGCAGGATATCAATTGTCCATTTAATCGCCTGAAGAAGCTCCAACGATTGGCTTTTTTGAGACTTTCTACGTCCTTTCAATTTTCAGACTCTTGGCCTGCTATCAGCCTAAAATTTACTCCCACTGAATTTTTTATATGTACCGTACTATTGAGCGACACTTCACCCAGTCATCATTTAGATATCTTAGCATGGATATATAGATACTTAAGTGTACGGAGAGATTAATTGGGCTGTGTTTTCGCAAAGCATAAAGTACTTATTTTCATGTTACTACGCATCATCAATGACCGTTGCATTTCTCTAATACTATTTTTAGGTGCTTTTCCCAATTATCTAAGTGCTTTTTCGAAAGACCTTCAGACAGCGACGAAGACTCTTTTTAGGCATTTTTAAGGGATAACGGCCATCAGTTAAGCGGAAAGTTGACTCGCAAGACAAGCTATAGACATGACAACATACTTCATGACGTTTACTCAGCGAAAATGACTCGAGAGGCTGATGCTCGGGTTTCCTTCGTGTTATGCGAAACGAATATTACAAATCGGCTTACCATTTCCGCTCAGTATCTTGCATGCAACCAAGCGCTCCTTTGCAGTGATACATTTCCGCACGGAACCCTGTCAGGTGACGAAAAGTGACGTCTCTATGTCGAAAGACAAGATAAAAAGGGACGACTAAGTGGCACATCTCAGCTCAGGACAAAGCAGATCTCTCATCCGACTAAAATTATCTGTGTGTAGTTTAGCCTTTACTTGCTGTATATTGAAACACCACTAATCTGAACGTGGGGCATTCCTGCAGAGATCATCCAGAAGGAGGTCTACAGCGAACCTGAGCCCATTTCGGTTTCCGAAAAACTAGCCTACATTGCTGAGTATCCGTGTGCAA